CCACAATTGGCTGTTTTTAATATCATTGTAACAGACGCCCTCTTGAATCCATTTAGTGACATCAAGCATGTCATTGTTAACGCCACACACTCTTAAATCGTCTGTCTGCTGGTTTGAAACCAAGCTGCCGTAGATGATTTATTCCATCTGTAATGAGCTATAGAAGTGTATACTGTGTGCACTGGTGTGTTCAGCCTGAGAAGCCGTAAGGAGTCGAGCTTCCCACAGGACCCAGAGAACTGAACGCGCTCGCAGTAATCATATCTCTGGCTCGTTTCAACGCTGTCAAATCTTCCCGCCCTGCCCTCTGCTCACCTCATTCTCACCCATCAAAAAATAGCATTACATCACCCGAACCCCCAGGCGCTAAACCTTACACCGTTTAAACACATGCCACAAGAAAACTAGCCTTTTGTTGAGGTTTGCACAGAGAGAAAACACTGCAAGTCAAGATTTGTGAGGTTTGACAGACGTTTAGAAGATTGAGATTTATAATCGTCATCATATGCTTACAGATGGTTGCAATAAAAAAAAACATCACACAGTGTTAAAACCAATAACTAAATGAGCTCTTCATTTTGATATTTCAGTTTTTACAAAGCCAGTGAAAGCTTTGCAAAAACAAAATGAAAAAAAAGTGAAGAGCTTGTTTATTACAGTTTATTACAGAAAAATTAAAAATATACAGTGTCAAAACCAATAACTAAATTAACTTCTCATTTATCACAAAAAAGACCTAATTTATTATAGAAATTTTAAGATTAAAAATAATGTAGAAAAAAACATAATTTAGTGTTAAAACCAATAACTAAATGAGCTTTTCCATTTCTTTTTTTATTTCTGTTTTTAAAAAGCATTTTTGCTGATTATAGAAAATTTTGAACTAAAAATAATGTTGAAAAATATTAATGTGCTAAAATACATATTAGCTAATAATGTTATATTATAAAAAAAATATATATATTTTTATCAAATATAATATATCTAATATTAAATAATATTATCTAGCTATTAGCTCTTAAGAAATGAATGCTTTATAAACATATGAATTAAAAATAATAAAATAAAATATAATTTTAACATTTAAAAAGAAAAGTACCTAACCAGGGTGTCTGGAGTTACTGACTATTTGTACTGTACAAAATATCAGTTTTGAGACACTCAAAAGCACTCAAAATCTAAATTACCTATTCAGATTTTTTAGTCCGACTTGTTTACGATAAAGAACTATTTTCTACAGTCGATGTGAAAAGCGTTTCACTCATAAAAACAAAGCTGAAAAATGTGTTTGCAAAGAAAAATCTATCCAGAATGGAATAAACAAAAAACAACAACAACAACAAGCAAGCCACCGAGTGCATAAACAGCTTCCATTAGAGCTTCATTTGGAGCTTTCTGAAGTTAACGACTATTCGAATGCGACGTAAAATCTCTGACAGGTGCTCAAACCCTCGTACTCCTCAACGGCAGAGCGCCGCTACTGCGTCTTTGTCAATGCTGGAGGTTCAAGGTGGTGTCACAGAACAAACTCTGACGTTCAGCAATTAGATGCTTTGACATCGTTCTGAAGTTCCAAGAGATTCAAGAATTCCGCTTCCATAGAGACGAGTCTCCATGTGTCAGAAACACTGAGATGAAACCAAAGAGGGAAAAAAGAGACGTATTTGCACGGCTCCTTTCAAGTGCTGGCTGGGTTATTTTGCAGTGAAGAATAACGACACGAGAGTTTGCGTGGTATCGGGTCCGTGTGAGCCAACTAAACTGGCTGGAATTATCTGAGAGTGTATTTTTGGAAAGCCATTTGGTGCCAGATCCTTTCCAACACGATTCTGTGCTGCACGCTTCAAAGATCACAGACGCTGAGACAAGACACTGCCATTGTTTCATGAGCGTGTAAACAAGTGCATTGCTCTATTTCTGTTTAGAACCTGTTTTGAAACTCATCACTAATTACATTTTAAAAAGCATTTTTAAAACTGCATGCATGTGGTGAATTAAAAAAAAACTAAAGCCATTAGATTTGTACGCATGAAGAAAAAACAAAGCAAAAATTAGACAACTGTATTTTTTGTACTCTTTTGCTATTTGATGGGAAAATAAAATATAGCTTGAACAATAGCACAGCCATAAGAGTCCATGCATTACAGCGATTTTACCACGGTAGGCCATCAAAACACAGTCAAGATAATGCACAACCTCTCTGCTTTTATAAAAAACTGATTATAAAACACACCAATGTTTAATAAATTGTTAAATGTATTAAAATTAGTAATCTGCATAAAAATGATTCCATTAATCTAACTGCGCGCAACAATTCTGCATTAATATAAAATGTGCGGTTTGTGTTTATCATCATTTTACAGTGATTCTGAACAAAGTGTCTAAACTACAACACATACCATACAAAGACATACAGTGTATGCAAGCACACACACAAGCTTCACACAGACACATTCCTCAGACAAGAAAGAAAATATGACTGGAATGAAAGCGAGTAGAGAAGAGCGGCATGAAAATACGGCGGTGTCTCCGACGTTTGGACTAAAATAAAGTATCTCTTCCTCCTTCTGCAAGCAGAAGAACGCTGTGGCTGTTTAGATTTCCCTCTGCGTCCATCGTTCCTTTATATCCCAGTAAAAATACAGCGGGGTCAAAAGGTCGGTTCGTGACCCAGGGCCGCGCACTCCCCTGCAGGTGTCAATTGGCACATTGGGAGGAACTGTAAAAACACACTGTAGACTCACTGACAGGATTGGATGTGATCTTGAGCTTTAAAATAAAATTGGACGTTTCAACTGCAAAACTATATGAGATACTTTCCACTTTACCAAACACAATCAGATCTTTACTCACGTTTAATGTTACATTGTTACGTTAACATTGTTAAACAGACTTTAGACTTTTTTTTAATGCAGACAAATAGCTAAATTAGTTATTGTGTAAAAATTATTAGGTTATATATATTCGACTATACACTTTTAAGTCACAAGAGTGACAGAGAAAGTAAGCGTGTTTAAATCACATGACTACATATTTATAATCTTTAACTTTTTTTGTTTTATACATTTTAACCACCTAATTCTGCAAAATCTCTGTCTGATGCACTGTACCTTGAAATGAGAATATAGAGTTTACTTGTTTGTTTTTAACAGAAATACTGACAAAATGCAAAATAAATTCCTTTGGTGAGTACATAATACTACCAGCTCCATTTACTAGAATCATAATAGAATATATGATAGACGCAATTACTAAAAAGTTTTAAAAGAAACACATCTTTATCTTATTTTCCAGTATTGCAAATATCAAGTATTTGCAAACATGCTCACAAGTAAAATTTAAGGCAATTCTATTTTATTGCAATTTTAGTGAAAGAAGTTGATCTGTAAGTTCTGCAGATTTGTTTTCAGCAATAACTCTTAGCAAACTAGCTTTACAGTCCTCCATCGTGCTAAACACACACTCATCCAAACATCACTCCTGCACACTTTTGCCAAGGAACCAGCATATCCACAGACGCCAAACAGAATAAACACTTTTCATGAGCTATTTTGATTCCTGCATGATTTCAAAACAAATGAAGTTAACAACCGTACAACTCGGTATGTCTGCGGATTTGCCTATTAAAAACACTGAATGACTGAAGAACAAAGCGAAATGACAGTAAACATTCAAAATCGGAAACACCTTTAGACACGACCAACGTAGAAGCGTTTGAATCCATCTATAATTCCTACAAAGAGGTTTCCTGGATATGATAAACATCCATGGATGTGTCAACTTTCTTACAAACAAACCTCACATCTTAAACCTCACTCCATGTCTTTTCGACCGGTCTTCCAGAGCTGACGGTCGCTTCATATTTTTGCAGAAAAAGGGCAAAGAGGAGCAGAGCAGTCTGGGATACGTCCACGTCGCTCCGCGCTCGAACTCTGCGTGAACTCGGAAAAGAAAAACAAACCGAAAAAGAAACGGCGGGGAGTAAAACTCCACGCATAACTGCGTCACTCACTCCCCTCTCGGACGCATAGCAGGCCGCAGAACCCCCCCGCTCTGCTCGCGCCTCCAACTCAATGAAAACATCATCGCCAACCATCACGGCGGCGGAGACTGAGACCGAATAAACAGAGATGAGAACCACCCACGGCCTCACAGCTGGAACAGAGCAGTCAGAGAGATAATGATAAAGAAATCTGCTTTATCCTTCATCTAGTCCTTTTTATTTCATGCACTAATGACTGTGAAACACGCTGGAACCGTTTCCACATCAATAGCGTCTCAGTATCTCACCAGCACAAATCCACCCTCTCTCGGCTCGAGACAAAAACACAAGTCGCTTTGAGCAGCTCTGCTCTTGACACACCAGACCACAAACGTCACCTTCAACCCCTTTCTCAGCATCTACTCTTACATCCACGACGTTTTTAATCATTGCAAAGGCTCCACAAAATGAAACGAGGTTTCCCTTCAAAAATGCACAAACACAATGTTCATTCATCGCTGTAGCCAACTAAATAAACATTTCAACTAAGCAACTTATGGCAGTTTGTAATTTAATCCTGCTCTTTCCTAACCAGAACATAGCTGGATTTTTGCACAGAAACAAGTCCGGTACAGTGCAAGAGTAGTAAAGATGATTTAGCAGTCAGAGGTTGAAGAAGCTGAACTTCTACAGACGTTTCCCTTCATTTCCTCACTATACGATCGCCACAAACCCACATTTACCCACTGAAATCCACACTCTAAAACATCCAATGCACAATGCAGAAAAACAACATGCCACTACAACACAACACTGTGTTTCCAATTAGAAGATTTTTTTATGAGAGGATTTATTTAACTAAAAATGTCATGGCATGTGCTAACCATTAAAAGACAACAATTTGCTTTCACAGCTTTGACCAGACACTGGTAAACAAATGCACTTGATGTCCAACAAATATCCAGTGTTATAAAAAAAACAAAACGGTGTATTTTTTTTAAAGCATAGCATGGCTTGCCTGTTTTTTCTTTGACATCACACAGGACGTTGAAGAGCGCTGGCTTCATTCTGTGGCAGTTGAGAGCATGTTTTCTGAAACACAACACAAGGCCGCGGTGAGCGTCTGAACAGACGATATTTCACTCCACTAGCAAAGACTTATTTATCTGTCTGTTGCCTGAACGTACAGTGATCGTGGTGAAATGAAAAGCACATACCGATCTGAGCAAACCCATGCTAGTCTCTGTTTATCATATTTTGCATGCATACAGTATGCATAATATTAACATAAAATTCTATTAGTGACTAGCACTATTTCAGTAATTAATCATTCATATTTTTGTATCTTTGCATGTATTGTAATAACTAAAAAAAAATAATTATCATTTAAAAAAATGCATGATTTTTTATTGAACACATCCATACGCAAAAACAATCAATTTGATTAATTAATGTATTCAAACATTTAACATGATTGCAATAATGGAGTGATTACATTTTTAAACTATTAACTAATACAAATCAATAACACTGTATTTGCAAATATTTCTAAAATATACAGGGGGAAAAAAACATAAAATGATAAAATATATTTGAGTTAATTGAATTAAAAACCTCTGTTCTGAGCAATATTCATCCTAAAGGGACACGATCAGACGTGTGATACGAGTCTCAGTGCTGTCTGTCAAATTCTATCTTGGCATCTGTTCATTTCTATTGACAATAAATGAGCACTGCATGTCAGAAGAATACACTGATGTCTGTCACTACACACTACATGTGTTTGGACACACTGACAACAGCGATTGTGTTATCAGTCCATTTCTGGATGCCTACTTAGTCGATAACTCCTGATCTGCATGTAAATATTTGCTAATTGCCTAGTATCATAAAGATGTCAAACATCTAAACTATATTGCCTAAACTATATTTTTTTCTGCCGTTATTGTTACTACAATAGAATTGTTTTTAAAATGCCACTTGATAAGTAAAAAGTGAATTAGATGCCAACTGACATTAAAAAACTACAGTAGATTCTAGAAAGAGATCTCATATTAATTTATTAAGAATTTACAGTGTTAACAATAACTGTAGTAGTGTAGGTTATTTATCATAATTTGGCATATCTTTAATTAGCTTACTAAAAGTTTTTTTTATAGTGTTGGTCAAGTAAATTATATTATTTAAAAAATATATATGTGTAAATACTATACATAAAGTATAGTATTTATAGTATACAAACGTTTCATTGTTATATACATATTATTTTACATTTCTATATTTAAGCAATCAATGCATACATTATATATATATATATATATATATATAGTGCACTGTATAAAAAGTGCAAATGCTATATTATTATATTTTTATTATATTTTTTCTATTACAAGTATGTTTTTAAAATTATTTTTATTAATTTAATGAATAGCTATTGTTTGTAAAAGGTGTATCTTACTTTATATTCTAATTAATCAAATGTCAATCGCGTTTTGAAGATGAAAGTCAGCATGAATATTCCAGATCTTCGGATGAGATGAGTGACAGCTCACCTGGCCTGCGCCTCGTCCAGACTCTGGTCAGTGATGGTCATGATCTGTTGTAAAATGTCTCCAATGTCCTGCTTCCTTCCGTCTCCGTCGGTGGCTCCAGTGTTGTCCTGTATGTGCTGAGACAGGCCCGGGTGTCCGCTCATCCCCACGGCCGCATGAGCGTGCATCAGGCGCGGCTGGTCGTCCATGTCGGCCCGCTCCGGTCCTCCGGTCCTCTGTCCAGCTGCGGCGGAGATTCCTCTGGCAGTCTCTCGGCAATTTGTAAGCACAGTCCTCCTGAGCTCGCTCACTCACTCACAGCTCGAGCCACTATTGGCACTTTAACCACTGAACTCACCGGTGTGTGTGTGTGCTGTGTTATTAATCAGGTCCCGCGTGAAGGCAGCGCTTCATACACTCGCGCGTTATTTCACTGTTTCATCCCGCTGCTTTTGTTACATTGTAGCGCTCTCAGAGCTCATAGACTCTGCTATGCTTTGGCCCCGCCCACGCATTCTGATTGGACGCAGGGACCGCGTAGCCCCGCCTCCGCATGTCTCTCAGCGCACGTCAATCATTGCACAGGGAAGATGAAATGCGCCTTGCTCTTCATGTTTGTCCGCTGCACGTGTGTTTTTTGTTAATATTTCTGATAGCACACATGTATTTAGAAAGAGCGCCCTGGGTTTTCTGTGATAAAAAAAATGTTTGGAGGTGTGACCATATGCAAATATAATACTGGCTAACAAAATGTTATATTATTTACATGATATAATATAATTTAAGAATCGAATATAATACCCCATTAATATTATTGCAATTGTAATTAAATACTATAAATACAGTAATGTCAAATAGTATTAAAATCTATGTGAATTATATTTGAAATATTTAAATTAATATTGTATATTTATATAAAATAGTAATCATATTTAATATTATAATAATAAAACTTAGCAACCACAATATAATATTCTATTAACATATTCTATTAATTTATATTATGATATATTAATATAGCAATTATATGTAATTTGTTTTTTGTGTAATAAGCATAAAGCACTAGTATGAGTATTACAATTTATTTATTTGTGTAATAAGCAGTAGTATGATCATAACAATCTAAATGAAAATGTATGTATTCATTCATTCATTCATTCATTCATTCATTCATTCTATACAATACAATAAAGCTATTAAATATGTAAAATAATAAAACCTATATGAACAATATAAAAATTAAATGTCGGATCTTTTTTATTATTATTGTAATTTATTCATTCATTTGTGGTTGGAACTCATTAGACACATTTGATATGAGGGGCATTGAAGGCGGTGGGATGTATTGATGTTTCGAACATGAGCTAAATCATTGAGTCTGATGTTCAGGGTCTGTCTCACTTTCCCCTTTGACCAGTGATAGACCTCAGTTTCTCTCCACCACTCCATCTCATTTTCCAGCCCGCTGCCAAGGAATAGATATATTTCACCGAGGTGTAAAACTCCCAATCAAAACAATCGACCTTGTCCTTCATCCATTTCAGTTATTACCCGGTTAATGTGCTTAATTCAGGATTAACGATCGAATGATTCTATCCTTCACTTCAGTCCCAATGAATAATGTTGAATTTTCATACTGATTTTGTCTTTTAATTAAGCAGTAGCAAAGTGTTTCTGAAATGCAATGCTAACATGATTTGATGCATTTTATTTAAACGTCTTGTTTGAGCACAGTGCATCGATCTGTTTTAATGCTCAGTGCAGCGCTGGGCTTTTTCAGGTATGTTCAAGCAGCACACTTGACTGTGTTCGCTTGGGTTTTTCTAATGTAAGCCGGTGACCCATGGTGCGCAGCCAAGCAGCAGGGCCTCAGTGTGTGTGACCAGGCTGAAAAGTGCCTTCCAGGTCTGAAGCATCCACTCTAGTGCTCCTGCCACTGCGGGGGAGGTTACACACACACACACACACTCGATCCAGTGTGTATGATTGAGAGATGCCTGCTTAACTCAACCGAGAACATCCAGCAAATCCCTGAGTGAAAATAAATGCAAGACACTTCAGGCTAGTTTCCCTGTTCCAAATTGAGCAGCGACCCTCTGGCTAAGAGACGGATTTCTTGGAATGTATTTGGAATGACTTTGCCGACAGTCCCCTGGTTGTTCTCTGTTTATCCTTAGTTTGAGTTTGTAAAAGGACAGTTCTGTACCTGGCAAGCGCAGGCAGCAGTGTGTGCACTGTGATGACGTCTCTGTAGTGTGCATCTCGCCATCTGCCACGTGTAACAGGAATCCCTGAGAAATCTTTCATGTAGCATGAGAGATGGTCGCACTGTCCAAACATCTGTCCTGACCAGCGCACGGCATCATATTCGCTCATCAGATCAATCTAACAAGTGTTCAGACACCACACACTTCTTGGAATGTTACAATGGGTTAAACTGGAAATAAAGTGCTTGCAGTTTTGGGCCTTGTTTTTACGCTGTTTCACTTTGGAAATATTTTAGTGATTGGAATCAGTTATAAGTTATAGACATTTTAACAAAGTAAATCATGCAAAATGCATGCATGTGAGATCAACCGCATGGTCACAACTCCAAAACGGAGATAATAAAATGTGACTATATAATCTTGTATAGTAAAGATACACTCTTAGAAATAAAGGATCTCCTTTGGCATTCTTTAACAAAGGTTCTTTATAGTGGAAAAAGGATATTTTAGATTAAAATGGTTCTTTTAAGAACTGTTCACTGAAATATTTCTTTTATGGCATCACTGTGAAAATCCCATTTTGGAACCTTTATTTTTCAGAGTGCAGCAAAAAATAAAAATAGACTTATTAAAGAAGGAAAAAATCAGTTGTGTCCAATTTTGATGCAAACCCTTGTGCTGTGGTGGAAATCCTTTATCTAATTTGGTGTTCCAAAAAATGACCGGCATTTTAAAAATTGCTCGTAAATCTCTTATTATGCTACATTATCACCAAATCTGGGATGGAATATTTTTGTAATCTTGTTTTCTTTAAATTTAGCACAGTTTTTTATTTCATGTTGTAGCTTATTGGTCATAGGCCTCAATTATGTGAGTTTATGCACCTCAGTTTTTAGCTAAAAAAGCATTATTTGTGGATAATTTTGGCAATGTTCAGTGAAAAACATAAACTCAGATCAATGAGGCCTATGACCAATCAGTTCATAAAATTAATACAAAACCTGTGCTAACTGAAAGAAAACAATTTGATAAAAAGACTGAATCCAACATTAGGCAATAATATAGCATATTGAGCCATTTATAATCGATTTTTTGTAGGCTGGTCACAAGGAACTTTGCTCGCACTGACAGCAAAGTCAGTAAGTTTTAATCCGATTTGATAACATTAACATTAGCATTTTCAGGAAAAGTAAAATCCTCTCCAGGTCAAAATCTCAGAATCTGGATATGTGCAGTTTTGTTTGTGGCAGCCGCTCATAGTTTCCTCATGATAAGACACGATATTGGCACCCTAATGTGATTCACTGTCATACATTCACAGCTATTAACAGTAACAAGAGTCCATTTCAGACCACAATGTCAAATACAACAATGGGAAGACACATTCCTTGTCCTACTTCCATATGGAAAACCACTGGATCATAGTTAAAATGTGCACTCTTTGATTTCTATTGCATTGTATAATTATCAAGACCTATTTTTTTTAATTGCTCCATGCAGTGTTTTCTGCCCTAATTAAAATACAGTAAAAAGTGTTCAAAGGAGCTGAAAGTATCATCAAATGTTAATTTATAATAAACAAACATGCAAAAGAAGATTTATGAAGGATATGAAAATCTGTGGAGCTTTTCTACCAAATTCTGTGGGCGCAGACTTGCGTATAATGCCATAAATAAAATACACTAATTTACTGTTTTAATACCATAAAAAGAACAACCAGGAATGGCTATTGACATACGACTTAAGACAGCATCAGGGCTTTGCAGCTGCATATCAATAAAGACATGAATTAATGCCAAATCGTATATCACATTTCTCATCAATGAAAGAGCTTTACAGTAATCACTTAAAACAGTCTTTTACCGTTAAATTCACGGTCATTTTTTACAGTGTACAAAATCAGATTTGCTGAAGGTGAAGTGTGTGTTGTATTCAACACTAGTGGCACAAACTGGAATTGCACAATAATTACTTTTCAAACAGGCTTTGGTTGTCCAAACAGATTGTCTGGTTGAGTCAGCATCGCTATCTAAGTAGTCAAACATCTTAAAAACAAGAAAAGCTTTTAGACCTAATGACAGTGACCTCTCTTCATGGAAATGAACGCTGTAGGTATACGAGACAAACAGACTCGTGAGAGACGGTCAGTGCTTGTGGTATGAGCGTTTAGCTTCCATGGCATCAAGGAACCTCAGAAACGCTTTGAGCAACATGCCAGCGGAGACTCCATAGACGATAGACGAGCCTGAAAGAATCAATAGCCCAGAACAAAGAGGAGCTGTGTTACAGCAGACCTATACTAATCACTCGCCCAGAGCCACATCAATGCCGCCTCACACATAGACTCCAGCATCTCCAGCTCTTCAGGAGCTTCTGCTGCCATCACAGTCCGGTCTCCATCAGCTGCACGTCTCCTCCATCACATCAATCAACTGCTTGTTTATTTGCAAGCCTCATTATGTTAGTGTGCCATCTGCACTCATCTCCTCTTCTCCTCCTTACCTCTCCTTCTCATCAATGAAAGAGCTTTACAGTAATCACTTAAAACCTCACTTTACACACAGCGCAATCACACGATCTGTGCCGTTCCACGCAAACACACGTTACGCCTGCATGTGAGTGTTCTGTGAGTGGATTGAAGCTGACAGCGATGCAGTCGTGCAGTGGATCGCTGGATCTCTCTCTGTGCCGAGGGTCATTCCTCTCCACCAGGAGATTCCTCTCACACCGCTGCAGGCTCTGGGCTGATCCTGGAGGAAGTGTGAAGTGTGACAGCAGTGGGGGTTTTCTCAAATCATTTGCTTTCTGTGAACTTACACTTACACATGATCTAAATGAGGCATTGGGTCCCACATCTTTAAAATGCTTATAAACTGTAAACCTAATAGACAACCTACTTACTAACTGGAAGTCAGCAGTTCCTCCTGTGTATTGCTATTGGGTTTTTAGATGGTTTTGTACATGCTCTTAAAATGTTAAGAATCACAGTAACCTGAGCTCTTCTCCATACTTCTTTACCCTTTTTATTTGGCCTTCTTTTTCATTAAACTAAGTGTGTATACAAAAAGTGTTTGCTTGACATTTTGTCATTTGTATTAATGTTAATGTATACAACTTACACATACTTACAACTCACATATATACATATATATATATATATATATATATGATTATAATATTTTTATGATTTTCCAAAAATGATTCATTGGAATGTTTTCAGTCAGTTCAATAAAAGGAAACCAAAACTATAAACTTGTTTATTTGCAA